ACCTTTAGGGCGTTTACGCGCATAATTCGACTTGTCTTAGACGACCGAGAGGTGTTGGACTATCGAAATATTTCGATACAACAGGCTTGAACTCCTATATGTTAACCTACGCTTAATTCTATTCACGACATTCGCTTCAATATGGCAAGGGCTCTTGCCAGCGCTTCTCTGGGTGCCGTTGCTCTACTGGCAACGGCATCTATCTTGGCTCTTGAAGTCATCGTAGCTCAAGGGCTTTGGGGATCATCCTCCCCAGCTAAATTCGCTGCAATCGTCGCCTCAGCGCTCGAAATAATAATATTGATATTACTAATTATCCTTTTTGCTAAATGTGTTGGACGGGGAATAGGGTTTGGTAGAAGAAAGTCTAATGGGATCTGGTTCGCGTCGGGACTTATTGCAAGTGTATTGGCATCGGCTGCGTCGGTTGTGATGTTGGTTACGTTGGGAAGACCGGAGGGATTACCCGAAACGATATTACAAACGCCATGGACGAACTGGCGTATGGGAACTTCAATCGCACTTATTATTGCTTTCGTGGGACAGCTCGTTTTTATCGTCGTCTATTTTGTCGTCCACCGGTTGCCTGACTCGGAACAGGCGCTATCACTTCACACCAATGAAGATAACTCTCGACAGCTGCCGAGGCATGTAAAATCGATTCCTTACAGTCGAACAGTGCCTGCTACGAGTCAGACTACGATCGGGAAGCGGACACCGACGGATTATCCAACGCCACCGGGCTCGAGCGCTGGCAAGTCGATGGCTGAGACTATGAGTTCAATCCGCACCTCTGTTTCCCAGGCCGTACGTCCGACCGGAACTCATACTAGGTTGCTTTCCTCGGGTTCAAGAACTGGGCGCCGTCCAGCTTCTATTGACTCAACTGGTTATCGAGAGCGGGCGAGCGTGGTCGTATCGGAGGATGGCTTTGATTCTTGGGATACGTCCTCGGTCGATACCCAGAACCGGCAATTAATCGTGGAGACAAGCCCGCCCATCCGGTCAGGTAGATTTCTGGAAACCATTCCCGCGAGCCCGACAACCAGTCGAAGCCCGAGCCCTGGAAACCCTCTGGACTTCGAGCCTCCAAATAGGACCCGTAATCGTAGGAGCCGGAGTTATAGCCCGCTCCCTAGGCCGTCACAACACGAGCGTAGCATGACGCCTCAATCCATATCGGGCGAGCTACATATTCATCCGCTCTTCCGATCCGATTCTCCAGCACCACCAGCGGTTACTCCCGGAACGGTGGTTGTTGCAGCGCCCAATGCAGGACAGACTATATCAGAGAAGTCCCTCACTCGAATGCGTAGTACCAGTCTAATAGCGGGCCCAGGGCCCCTTAGCCGGCAAGGCAGTTATGACAGCTTCCGGAAGACACCGAGCCCTAATACAGATCGCCTTCGTGTAGAAGAGCTAGCTGTAGAGAGGAAAATGACGCCGCCGATTCCTGACTGGATTTTGAATGCCGGATCAACAACAAGCTTGACCGATTATCAGGCCAAGAAATAGCGGGAGCGTGAGGCATTAGAAGATACCTCAAGCACTCACTGATGGCATCCATGACTACTACTGATGATGATGAATATGACTCAGGACTCTTTATTCGAGAGACCTTGGAACGTGGAATTGGGTTTGGGGGACTTCGAAGATACCACTGTCTTTTTTTTATTTTTTTTTATAGCGCGGCGTTGAACTAACTATCTTCTTAACCTTGGAAAGGGCTTTGTTAGTCCCTCCTTATGAATGCGAGGAGATGGAAGATAGATCTCGAAGTGAGAAATGAGTAAAAATAATAAATAAACTAACAAGTGTGAAACTATCTGATACGAGTAGATTAAGTGTGATGTGCTTTAGATGGTCTTATTAATAAAATGATGTATGATATATTGAACTTATTGAGAACTTGGAGAAGACTTAACCAACTAAGACAATATAAACTAGAGTTGATGATAGAGGCATATTCATAACTCGACTTGACTTGTAACCAAATGAGTCAATAAGAAACTTCGTGATTCTTTGCACTACATATAAAATGTAGGTTGACGATTGAGGATTGAGGACTCAGGATTGTTTAGGTACCTACCTACCTACCTAGGTAGGTAACCTAACCTAGGTAAGCAGCTAAGGTAGCATCAGGCCTAGTATTTAAGCTAGCCCCACCAATTGGACCCCGCATATTTGGCGGGTAACACATCCATGGTAGGTACCTACGTTTATGTATGTAAGCAAGCATTACCTAAAATTCCAGTGTGTACCTAGGTATGTACAATACCATGTGGTAAGCATGACCAGCCGGAGGCCCAGCAGCGCTAGCCGCCGCCACTGCCCGCCGCAACACATCATAAACTGCTACCTGAAATTCAAGACTCAAATCAGACTTTCTACTCCCGTTGCTTTCCACCAAAAACCAGTTTCTTTTTTTTCTTCTCTGGTTAAATCACAAACCCTCCGAAACTCCCCTGGTTTTTAGCCACATTCCGCACCATACTAGAGGATCACCCAGGATATTTTTTCTTCGGCCAGCTCAGCCTTCCTACCCCTCTTTACCTCCCACTGCTGTTATCGTAATCCCTAGTCGCAGCTATTTTGAAGCTGCCCGCCGCCGCCACCATGAAGGTCACCTTCAAGGTAAGCATCGCATATTAATTGCAGAAGGTGTTCACGCCTGATCTGAGCTGCCATCTATCCTAAACATTATTTATAATTGAAGATGCTAATACTTTTTACTCTGTCTACAGGAGCTCTCGAACCAAAAGTTCACGCTTGACATAGAGCCTACTGATCTTGTATGTCGTCATGTTATCGCCGACCATTACTACCCCCAATCTAAACTCCGTGATTCACCACGACATATCGTATTCTAACTGGGATCAAGATTTCCACCTTGAAGCAAAGAGTTGCCGAAGAGAAAGGATGGGATGCCAAGGCTCTGAAGCTCATTTATTCTGGTACGTTCTCGCTTTCTTGTTGTATCTGTGCTATAACCGGATATATGCCCTAGGCATCTGAATGCTATGTGAATGCTAACCTGGGTATAGGCAAGATCCTCAAGGACGAAGATACAGTCGCGGCCCACAAGATTGAGGAGAAGGGCTATGTTGTTTGCATGGTGAGCAAGGTATGTTGTCGCATCTGTGCTAGATTTGGCCTATAAAGTCTTGCTAATAATTAATAGCCCAAGGCCGCCCCCGCAGCCTCTGCCGCAGCCTCTTCATCCAGTGCTCCACCCGAGACGCCCGCCCGATCCGTCGCTGCAACTCCTGCTGCCCCGGCCGCACCTACCCACTCATCTACCGCCGCCGCCGTGGTGCCGGCCACGCCGTCGCCTGCACCTGCACCTGCTGCAGCAGCTGGTAACGATGACAACTCCATGGCTATGGGCGAGGCCCGAGCTGGCGTGATCGCTAATATGGAGGCTATGGGATTCGAGCGCTCTCAGATCGAGGCTGCTTTGCGTGCCGCTTTCTACAACCCAGATCGCGCCGTCGAGTACCTCTTGAACGTAAGTGCAATGGCCCACTACGGGTTTCCCATCTGACGTGATATAGGGTATTCCGGAAACTGCTCGTCAACCAGAGCCCCAGCATGAGGCAGCTCCCGCTCAAGCAGCAACCGGCGCCGCCGCCGCCAGCCAGCCGGCCCGAGGTGAGGGCGAAGGGGGTGATGTCAACTTATTTGACCTAGCTGCGCAACAGGGTCGAGGAGGTAGCCGTGGAGGAGCTGGTGGTTCTTCCCAAGCAGCGGCTGCAGCCGCCGCCGCCGCCGCCGCTGGTGGCCAGACTCTAGGCAACCTGGACTGGCTGCGCAACAACGCTCAGTTCCAGCAGCTTAGACAGGTGGTCCAACAGCAACCCCAGATGCTCGAGCCTATCTTGCAGCAACTCGGTGCCGGAAACCCTCAGCTTGCGCAACTGATCTCTTCGAACCCCGAACAGTTCCTGAACCTGTTGGGTGAAGCTGGCGATGACGATGCACCTCTGCCTCCTGGCGCCCAGACCATTTCCGTCACGGAGGAAGAGCGCGATGCCATCGAGAGAGTATGTAGTTACCCTATGAGTGTACATGCCATGTGGAAAGCTAATTTAAGCCCAGCTATGCCGATTGGGTTTCGACCGAGACGCAGCGATTCAGGCTTATTTCGCCTGTGATAAGAACGAGGAGCTGGCCGCAAATTTCTTGTTCGACCAGCCCGAAGACGATGAACCTCCTCAGAATTGATCGACATACTCGCTTTACTATGTCATCTTCGTCTCACGCTCTTACGCTCCCTCACGATATCCGGTGTGGCGCCTCACTCCTGCGCCATCACACCATCCCCTCTGTTAATGGCTATTATTTACTCTCCATAATGCTTTGTTCTGTCGGGAGGAGGCACTCTAAAAGACTCTATTAACGTACACGGCCATGGGTCTCAGGAATTTTCCCACCCCCCGAACTACCCAATCCTGAAATACGCACTTTCGGGCCGAGACATCCCAGTTTAGTGGACGGCGAGTTCTCCGTTCCGCGAGGAAGATGAAGAGGAAAACGATGGTTGGATGAACCAAGCTTGTAACTTAGTTCATAATTCTACATACTGATTTCCCAGAATCTGCCTCTTTGCGTTTGCGCTGTATGGCTACCTGTTTTCTCCTTTGACGAAGTGAAACGATACATTGCACTTGCAACGTAATTAAGATGTAATATGAATTCCTCATTGTGCAACTAATTGCAACGGATGCTTCATGCTAGCCATCGCTGCCTTCAAATCTGCTATGTGATCATAAACATATCTAACTAGCCCCAAAGAGGCTGTAGTAAATGTAAGTGAAGAAGTGAAAGAGAAAAATACAAGCCAAGCTAAAGCCGTAGAGCATGTCTTCGTCGATGCTACCAACACCATTGGAGACCGCCTTGCTCCTCCCCCCCCTTTTTTTGTAGTCCGTTACGCCAATATTCTGTAAATCATCTTCAACCTTCGACCCTTGACCTTTGAATTTCAACAAGATCGCGAGCCTGACTGGCTCGTGTAAGCAAGCAACCAAGCAAGCTAAGGAAATGGGGTATCAAAAACAAGCTTGCGGGTGTTGCTACTTCGGGCCAGTTACTCATCCATACACACACCCCTTTAACCCTCAACCACCACCTCCTCTGTGACTGCATATGGGTTATCTCCCCCTGTGTTTCCCTGTCCCCCCCGGCCGTTATCTTGCTGCTTCTCTCCATTCTGCTGCCGTCCCTGTCCCTGTCCCTGTCCCTGCACCCCAACCTCATCGTCGTCATCAATCAACCCTGCCGCACGTCTCTCGTCTCTCAGTCGTCTAATATCTTCATCGTGCTCGCGGACGAGTTCGGCGTGTTCGGCAAGAATGGCGTCGCTCTCGCGCCACTCGGGCTGGTGGGCCTTGTATTCCTCTATATCAATGCCGACGCGCTTCTCGCCGCGGACCATGACAGCGGCGTTGATGCGGCGCGGGCGTTGGGTCTCTTCGCGGTTGAATTTGAGCTTGACGGCGCGTCTGGTTTTGCCCGGGAACATGCTTGCGATTGTCTCGAAGTCAGTACCGAACATGCTTAAGAGGCGGTAGAAGCGTTCCTGGGAAGGTGTTAGTGCTATTTCTTTTTCTTGTATAAAGGAAAAGGGGCAGTGGCTTACGGTATCCTCGTCAGTCCAATGATTCGCGCCTGTTCTGCGGCTCTCACGTCGAAACGAGGCCGAGGTAGTCAAGTGGGAGAATTCGTCTTCTTCGACGGTCTCGAGGGACGACATGTCTCGGTGCGCTGCATGTCGGTCTACCACGAGCGACTCTTGATTAATTATGATCTGACCGTCTACGACTTCGTAGCCGACGGACTGTGCGCCTGCATCGACTGAAGCTCCCAAATTTCTAGCTCGGGCAATTGCTGACTCTCTTCCATTCTCTTCGCCTTCCGCAGGGGTGCTGGCACGAGAGGCCTCTTCTCCGTCGGGAGAAATTCCCATAAGCTGTTTCTGCTTAGCTAGTCTCTTCTGGCGAAATTTTTCACGTGCTTGTCGCGCGCGTTCCTCTATAGCCTCTGCATGCTTGAATTTTTTGCCGATTCCCAGATCCTTAGTCAAATCTGCCATTTTCATCGTACTGTGGTTAATTACTTGACTTTCGGGGTCCTCGGGAGTAGATGAACGTCTGCGACGTCTATATGTCCTTTTGACTGGGGGTGCCCCTTCCGCTCCTTCTGCTGTCGTTGCTTCATTGCCCTCGGCGGGGGGGTTCTTGTGAGGACGTCTCTTCTTTGGCGCGGGGCCTTCTGCGGCAGTATCATCACCTGTAGCAGTCTTGCGCTTGCGATACACCCTTTTCTGCTTCGGGGCAGTAGCAACAGGTTCATCAGCCGGGGCGGAGACGGCAATCGTGTCGGAAACGGGGGCAGGAGATGGAGGCGCGGTGGGCGGTGCGAGTCGACTCTGTACGGAAGCGGACGGGTGTGGTATTGGTGTAAGTGTCGTAGCAGCAGGTTGCGAGCCAATAGAAGCTGATGTGTTAGGCGTAGGTTTGTCTAGACCAGTAGTCGCCAGAGTTCCTGACGCTGAGATTTCTGGTGCTGGCGTCGGTTGTGTTAGTCGGTTGGTAGGAGGCGAGATCGAAATCGAAGGCGACTGTTGTAGAGGCTCATCTGCGGTCGGGGCTGGCGTCGGTACCGTTTCTCTGGCAGTAACTCTCTCAGTAGGTGCTGGTGTTGGCACTGATGGTACTTCGACACCTGCGGAAGAAGCTGTCGAGGGCGGAGTTGATTTAGACGTAGCAGATACTGCGGGATCCTGTCGAGTTGGAGGGGTTGGCTGCTCCGAGTCAACGTGCGTTGTCTCTCTGGGAGTTTCTTTCGGATTTTCCTTTGGTGGTTCTGCTTGACCAGATGACTCAACTGAGGGAGTGGGAGGAACGGTAGGCGCAGGTGTTGATGTTTGAGAGGGAACCTCGGTAGTAGAAGCTCTCGTAGTGCTAGCAGATGCAGATGCGGGAAGTGCTTGCGATGACGAGGGAGCACCGCCTGGTCGACGAGGAGCGATCTTTGGCTTGAAGGACAAGCCTCCGGTCTTCTTCAGCATAGAACTCATGGCTGCTGATGCCTACGGTTACTATGCCTGATATATTATCTTGCGCATTGCCTTGTCGATAATTTTCGAACACCCCTCCTTGATGGCAGAATTGGCAATTCTAATTGGTGACTCGGATAGGTGTGTGCCTTGTCGAAGTTGTTCAGATGCAAAAGGAATCAAGTTGTATTTGATTAAGTGATTGAGAAAGAGAAATACTTGGGTGGGGTTGGTGGGATAATAACTGTAGGCCGGGATTGGATATGGAATTGACTGTACCTTTTCTTTAGTGGATTAGGTTAGGTAGTGGACCTAGGTAGGTAACCTAGGTAGGTAGGTAGGTAGGTAGGTAGGTACGTTCAACTGGAAGGAAGAGACGCGCATGCACACGGGCCACCGCTTTACCGGTAGGCGTTCTGAATCTGTAGGCCTGTTTGACTGTTATCAAGACCTAACCTAGCAACCTATTGACCGTGTTGACTGGGAAGGCACGCTCTTGCCTGTCCCAATCCAGATTAGTGGCCTTCCTGTGGCTTTTCTCGATTTCGACTTCGATTTTTCGTTCTACAACTCCTGGAGCCCAGGCTCACTCTTCCTCCCATTACTTTTCCACCCATTTCCTTGACGACAGTTTGCATCTATCGGCGCGAAAGGCACGCTTTTCTCTAGCTACCTCTGGGTCAGCATACAAATTTTCAACCCGGGGAGGCACTTGTACTATTTATTTTTTGAGCCCTCTCAAGACTACTTCGCCATCCATTTTATTGCAACTCCTCCTTTTCGCCGATCCGTTCGCTTTCTCGTTTCCCGCCTCTCGTTTGTTTCTTACGCCTTCTACAACTAGATTTTTCTATCCCATTCAATCTATTCATTCTGATGCCTCTGTCCACTTCGCCTACAACTGCGCCTCTATCGACTCGCATCAAGATGGAGGACCGTAAGCGTCCTGCTATGAGCAGCGCTGATGACATGGCCCCTCCTAGTAAACGACAGGCCGTTAACGGCGGTAGTAAATCTAAAGACGATACCGACGCGAAGGATGAAGCCTGGATCGAGGTAAGTCTCGCAGTCGCGACTTATTCCCCTTGAAACAATACCGCCTACCGAAACACGGCTTCCAACTTCTTATCGTCGCTATTATCAGGCGATTTCACCCTAGCACGAGACCTTCGTAGCCTTTGTTTCAAGTCGTCATCAGAATATTCTACTCACCATTTCAGTACTGATGCGCGGCTCTGCTGTCATCAGCATTCAATCCTACTACCACCCCATGCTCTAATATCCTCTCGCTCTTTATTATGCAACCTGATCCGAGTTGCTCGTCATCACGTATACTCGCGCCACCCAACATGATACATATAAGGGAAATGGAGTCGCTGACAGATATGGATTGGCTAGGACTATCAAAAAGATGCTATCTACCGACAAATGCTCGAGTATAAGCGCGAGAAGAATACCCTTGAGACTCAACTGGGCGAGGTCAAGAAGCGATCAACACACCATGACGACCACATCCGAATAGTTGATAACTGGTGGATACAGGTATGTCTGATTTATCGAAGGCGAGCTTGATAATAAATACTAAGCCCGATGACAGCTACTCCAGGAGGTAGAGTTGCTAGTTGAAGGAAATGTGCCTTTCCAGCAAGGATCTGATAGTGAGAAAGCCCTCCTTTACCTTAATATTCTAAATCCGCGATGCTAAGACCATATATAGGCCAACCGTTTCCCACACATACCCAATTCAAAGACCTGGAAGAGTTCGAGTCACACTTAAGCGAGAAGACTTCAACTATCAAGAAGATGGTTGAGGCGATACTTGGCCGTCTTAATGGGACTCGTGGCAAGGTAGCTCCTGACATCACAGACTTAGAGAAGAAGGTCAATGCGCTCCTATCCCAGCAGAAAGAGTTCCTCGTTAAACTCGATCGTCTGTCTGCCGAAAAAGAAAGCCTTTCTGAGCAACTGAATATCGCGACACTCCGATATATGAAGGCTGAGAGAAGGCTCGACCGGGCTAAAAGTGCTCAAGTACAGAAGCTTGAGCAACAGGCACTAAATCACGTATCTACTCGGCCCGTGGGCGTGGACCAAGAGAACGGCTTGTCTCCCGATGAGAGTAATACGAACAGCGAGGCATTGCAGTTAGCTCTTCGCGAAGCCAAGGCTGTTGCAGAACGGCAAAAGGAGCAGCTAGAATCCGCGTTGGCCCAAAATAAGAGCCTCCAAGAAGAGCTTACTTCTGTACAGACCCGGCTAACGAACTTAACCGACGAGGACTACTCTCGTACCGAAGTCTTCAAGGTGTTCAAGAGCCAAATGGAAGATCTTCTCCGCAAGGTTAACAGTTTGGAAGCAGACAACAAGAGTCTCAGAGCGGCGGCCGAAAAATTGGAAGCCGAGCGCGAGTCTAGCCGCCGAAAGGTCGAGAGCGAAGCGCAGGCACTAATTGCAGAACTTGAGGATCAGCTTCAGCAAGCAGACACCACCCTCGCACGGGTGAGATCTGCGCGAGACGAGCTTCACGCGGACGTTACGATGCTTAGGGCGAGCAAAGAGCAAGATAAAACGGCCTTGGAACACATGAAGGAGCTGGTTAGTGCTGAAGAGGACCGAATCGCCACCCTCGAGTCGGAATTGCAAAGGTTACAACCCAGCGAGGATGTAGACATGACACAACGGCCGGAAATAGACGCGCTCTCACCCGAGGAACTACGAGAGAAGTACAAGAAACTATTAAAGGACTATAATTCAATTGAAAGCGAGTTACCAGGGATGACGCACGCAGTTAAAAAGTTCCAGGCTCTTGCTCATAAAAAGGTTATGGATCAAGCGGCTATGGAAGAGCGGGTAGCTTTGGCTATCGCTGAGAAGAGCAAAGCGGATCAAAAGTACTTCACGGCGCGAAAGGATGGCGACCTGAAGTTCGAAGCGATCCAGAAGCTACGTACCCAGAACGGCAAGAGTACGGAAATCATCTCGCAACTGAAAGAGGTGGAGGCCCATAACCGAACACTCGTAACGAACTTAGATAAACAACTTGCCGATCTGAAGCAGACGAATGCTTCGGTCATGGCTGAGAATAGGAAGCTTGAGACGTCGAGCACCGAGATGTCGCGACGCTTCGACGCACTGAAGCAGCAAGCTACCGAGTTAGCGAATTTGGCAAAGTCGAAAGATTCAACCACTGCAGTCGCTAAAGAGCGAGCTGCCACTTTGGAATCCGACGTAGAGAAGCTGAAGGTGCGCCTCGAGTCCGTATCGAAGGATCGTGACAAGTGGAAGGTCAAGTGCTTGAGTAACTCTTCAGAGGAAGAGGAAATGCTAAGAGTGAGTACAATGTCCTACGATCAAGGGTATCTCCGGTTTCTAACGATTTCACCAGAGCATGGCAACGTGTTCTATCTGCAAGAAGGATTTCAAGAACACAGTTTTACGAACTTGCGGACACATTTTTTGCAGAGGATGCATTGACGATAGAATCTCTAACCGAATGCGAAAGTGCCCCGCTTGTAGTAAAGCCTTCGACAAGTCAGACGCGATGACCGTCCACCTATAGTAGAAATTCATGAAAGCTCCGGGGCCATGAACGGGGGCGCATTGTAAAGTATCATTAAGAGGAAACGGCGTTGTTACGTGTAAGAGTTGATGTACATACTACTATTATTTGCAGACGTGAGTTCTGCCTTGAGAGAGCTGAAGAGAGCAGTCTCGGTTTCAGTTCTGCAGAAGTTTATTAGGTGTTTCGAGGATTCGAACCCAACCTGTTTTGCCAGTGAAAGATGAGGCTTTAGTTTGCGTCTGCACAAGGGGTTGGTGGCTCATCGAGTGAAATAGCTTCACCACTCACGTTTCGCAACGAGCTACAGCACTGGATAGCGAGTGCAAACAAATAGAAGACTTAACAAGTTACTTGATAATGAGGAAAGCCCATATTTGATAAATGATCTCGTGACTAGTCGTGTCCTTCGTCTACTATCTTCGGCTTGTTGAACCAAATCCTGTACCTTCATATCTAGCAGAGGATGTCGACTGTGATGAGCTAGACGGACCTGCCCTTGACTCGTAACTAGAACTCTGTCCGGACCGTCGATTGCCAGCCGCATATCCTGCTGCAGCCCCAGTTGCAGCCCCAGTCCAGAATCCAGGCCGCCAACCTTGGTTCCCTGTCGTAGATGAATACTTGGGCCCCGGATAAGGCGGCGGCGGGTCATTCCAGTCGTCACCACCTCCGCCGGGTCCGAAGCCGGGATCAAATCCGCCGCCGCCGCCGCCTCCCCAGCGGTTATCCCTCGGTCTCCGCGGCGCATTAGGAGCGTTCCGAGCGTTCACGCAGGCGGAATAAATCATAATCATACAGACGAGGGCAAACACGACGCCAAACAGGGCGGCAGCGATCTTCTCCGACATTGTCTTCTTCTCGGCCCCCCCCGTCTTGGCGATATCCGGGAACTTGGCCTCGCCGGTGTCGGTCAGGAGTAAGCGGTACTCGACGCCGCAGCTGCCCTTCAGCACGTACGGGTCGTCGGGAGACGAGTAGCCCTCGCAGAGGACGTCGGTGCTGCCGAGCTTGAGCTCGGGGGGCAGCGAGGCCGTGCACGACCATTGGATGTCTTGGGCGTCGTAGCCCGAGCCCTGGTTCGCGCAGCGCATCACGTCGATCTCGTGGAGACGGCATATGGCGGGGGGCGAGACGCAGCGCAGCTGCGGGACGGCGGACACGCGCCTGTGTTTGGTCTGGGCGCCGCCGCCGCGGAGGGTTAGGGATTGTACGTCTGAGAGGAGGATGGCGTTTTGAGGCTTGGCTGCGGCGGCGGCGGCGGGGGGGTGGAGGGATAGAGAGGTCCAGAGGAGGAGGAGGAGGGATGGGGGTAGGGATGGGGTGAGATGCATTGCGGCTAGCTGGAGATAACGATTCGGCAATGAGGTTGCATGGGGTGGAATTATACCCGTTCGAACTCAGACCATGGGTATTTCGATCAACGATATAAAGTAATAGAAGCTGTATGTTTCACCGCGAAACTGGAAGAATCCTAAAGTGGTTGATTATTGATCTTTGATCTCTGTCTTTTTCCCTCTTCTTAGAGACACAAGGGCTTTGTCTTCCTGTTCCTAGACGTGTTTTCGTCGAGTAGCTCGAAAGGACACCTGGCCGCTCAATATCAACTCATTTTAGTTTTAGTTAACTATTCGATGTTGGTGTTGGTTTGCGGCGTTGTGCAAGGCTGAAATGACGGAAGTGGGGCGCTTGGGGCAATATTAGGCGTTCATAATCTTATATGTACTTGTGCATAATAATGTTAACTACCTAAAGATTATACAAAGTACACGTACATGTATCCATTTGCCTAAAGTACTAAGCATATGTACCGGGAATTACCTGGGTAGTTCCATGTCGCCTCGTGCTACTTGCCTTGCTTGAGATGTAGCCTGTTAGAGGACTTAAATCTTCAGCCGCAACTTTAGGTATATTCGAGTTACATAACCTTTTCATATATTTTAAAATGTATTGAACGGCCCGTCGCCCGCCCAGAGTCAATTGGTTCCAGTCTCTTGTCTCGTTTTCGGGTTGCTTTCTCACCTCAACAGAATCATGCATAAATAAAGTCGGTTTTGTCATGGTATTAATTACGTGTCGCGTTATGTATTTGTCTCATGGAGGAATATCGTTGGTAAGTCTCGAATCATAAAAATCTCTAATGAAATCCGGACTCTGGGTGTGCCGACGCCGATGGCATAGAGCGTCCCAGGCTCGCTTACGACACATGGCTATGGGTCCCAGCAACATAAGCTTCTATCCCCTGTGTTATATATTTGGCGCATCTCGGCGATGATCCCCAAGAGGAATACGGTCATATACGGGTTGGTTGGTCTTTATATCGGTATGGTAAGATGAGAATACTAACGAGATCAAGAAAGCGAAAGACCCTTCTTATCTCGGTGTATATATACCAGCTGCGGGCCCGAGCAGCGGTCTCTAATAATAAAAATAAGCTTCTAGGCCGCCAGAGCGAATCCAGAGCGCACTCAACCGTCCACTAGTTTCATGCGCAAAATGCCTCTAAACTAAGTGCCGAAGTCAAGCATTACTACTACGTACATAATCCGGATGTACATGTACCGGGATTCCCTAGAAATCCGAGGTCCGAGCCCCGTGCTGTTGTTTTGCTGAAGAGAAATCATCTTAGCCATCTGATAATCTTATAGGTTATCGATCTCGCTTTGTAAAGGAAAAAGCGGGCTTGTTGGCTATTGGTGTATCTTATTCTTGCTCATGCGGGTGTAGTACAAGTAAGCAGTCGTAATACATACATAGTCATATCATCATAGCGTTGCAGGAGATCGTAGGCACTACCAACGAACGGTATGACTCTTCGGTATGATTCTGCGGGTAATGCAATCGGTATCTATAGCCGATAATATAACTGCTTTAGGTAGGTATAATAACTTTTTGTGCAAGATCTTAATACGCACATCTTATTGGCATGCCTTTTTAAACATTTGTCGTTCCAGATCGCATATAATACATAGGTGTGCTATGTATCAATTAGATCTATGTATGCAATTACATACCTAGTTCGTCGATCTTCAGCAAGCACTTGGGATGTAGGGGTGCCCCGCCGCTAGTAGCTAGTGTACAATTAGCGGCTATCCTTTAATATGTAAAGCCCAACATACCTAAGAATGAAATCTCGTGTAATGGTGGATCGGAGCCTTTATATTCGAACCGGGATTTCAGAGATGACATTTTTCGTTGGCCCCATTTAAACTTCAACGTGGTTTCATAATCGAATCCCGTTGTGAGATTAAATATTAATATTAGCAGGAAGTCGAATAGTTAGTTAGCTGCTACTATTTTGGCTACGCAGCGAAGCTTCGTGTCACTAGCCTTTATAGTAGCTCCTTAGTCCAATAGGTATACCAATTTTATACTAATTTTCGCATACATCATAGATGTAAGTGTACCTTAGCTGTTTGTATGGAGAAAAACTTATAAGACAATGAATCAACCGAAAGCTTAAAAGGGACGGATCGATAAAGCTAATCAAATATTATCGAAGGTAGGAGCACATGGCTCCATGCGGTACCCCACTTGGTACATACCATAAGTACTATCTGACTGTTTGACTGCGTAACAGTTGCCGGTTGCGAGTCTAGCGTTAACGTTGTGCTCGGAATTCTAACATTCCGCGCCCGGCCTGTATAATTCCCATCGATTAAAATCATCTGCACCTACCCAAGTTAGCATCGCGTGCACCATCGGACTACCTATCCGTACCTTGTTCTTTTTTTGCCATTCGAAATTTATGTACGTAGAAAAAGGATAGGCTCGGCCCCGGAATTCGCATAATTAATCCCGTGCGGTGAATCATTCAAGAGTCATTGAATGGGAAATTATAATACACCCCCCGCCATGTCCCCCATATCCCCATAATATATACAACATCATCTAGATAAGAAGCGAACATTGCATTTTTTTTTTTCAACTAGAATGCACTAAAAACCCAACTAAGCAAACGGCAACTTTAAAATACAAGGAATAGAAGGTCTGGGCATACCGCAACACCGGTTCATCGGTCGAGAACCGCCCCCTTTTCCCCACGTAAATATATCTTGTCCGGCGCGCGAGAACCCTTAACATCACTGGTTCTTCAATCTCACCCAAAGCGCAGCCATGGCCAACGACATCTCGGAAAAACCTCAGATGGCCACTGCGGAAGGCCCTTCAAGTCGCAACTCCAGTCAACGCGACTCGGAGAAGGGACGAAATTCTACTGGATCCGGAACGGCATTAGAGAAGGCAGATTCGAAAGTAGTGAAGGTGGCCAAGGATTCCAATGATGATCCTTTTCGTCATCTTCCTGCCGACGAAGCAGAGGTTCTCAAGAGGCAAGTCATAACGCCTGAAGTAAGAACCGGCGTACTCACACTATATCGGTACTCTTCTCGGAATGATCTTATAATCATGGCCGTCAGCGCTGTATGCGCTATCGCGGGCGGTGCCGCGTTGCCACTAATGACGGTCATCTTCGGTAACCTCCAAAACTCGTTCCAGGGGTTCTTTCTCGGCACTGTTGGGTACGACGCTTTCATGGACGAGATGGTAACTCTCGTCTTGTATTTCGTGTACTTGGCCATCGGCGAGTTCGTAACCATCTACATCGCAACCGTCGGCTTTATTTATACCGGAGAACACATAAGTGCCAAGATTCGCGAGCACTACCTAGAGAGCTGCATGCGCCAGAACATCGGCTTTTTCGACAAGCTCGGTGCTGGCGAGGTTACTACTCGTATTACCGCCGACACCAATCTGATCCAGGAAGGTATTTCTGAGAAGATTGGGTTGACGTTGACAGCAGCGGCAACATTCGTGTCTGCTTTCGTCATTGGCTTCATCTTCTACTGGAAATTGACCCTGATTCTATGTTCTTCGCTCTTTGCTTTGATTATGGTCATGGGAACTGGATCTCGCTTTGTCGTCAAGTATACCAAGGACTCCATCCAGGCGTATGCGGCAGGAGGCAGCGTCGCTGAGGAGGTTATTAGCTCAATTCGCAATGCTATTGCCTTTGGTACACAGGGCACCCTATCGAAGCAATATGACGCCCACCTCACCCGTGCCGAATACTTTGGGTTCAGAAAGTCGGCTTCGGTCGCGTGCATGGTTGCCGGTATGTTCTGGATTATATACCTGAACTACGGTTTGAGTTTCTGGATGGGCAGCACATACCTTGTCGACGGTGTTATCCCGCTCTCGAGTGTCCTTATTATCATGATGTCGATTATCATTGGTGCTTTTAATCTGGGCAACGTCGCCCCCAATCTCCAAGCTTTCGGCACCGGACTTGCGGCTGCAGCGAAGATCTTTAATACCATTGACCGTGCGTCCCCGTTGGACCCCACTTCCGAGGATGGTGAGAAGCTGGAGAATGTTGTTGGTACGATCCGTCTGGAGAACATCAAGCATATATATCCCTCGAGGCCTGAGGTTGTCGTCATGAAGGATGTAACACTGGAGATCCCGGCGGGTAAGACGACAGCATTGGTCGGAACTTCTGGGTCCGGAAAGAGTACCATCGTTGGACTTGTGGAACGATTTTACGATCCTGTGGCGGGCAGAGTATTGCTAGATGGACACGATATTAGCACCTTGAATCTTCGATGGTTACGCCAACAGATGTCCCTAGTCAGCCAGGAACCTACCCTATTCGGTACTACGATTTATCAAAACATTAGGCATGGTCTCATCGGCACCACACACGAGAACGACAGCGAAGAAAAACAGAGAGAGATGGTTTTTGAAGCAGCCAAGAAGGCTAATGCTCACGATTTCATCACGTCTTTACCAGAAGGATACGAAACAAATGTTGGCGAGCGTGGGTTCTTATTGTCCGGCGGTCAGAAGCAACGTATTGCTATCGCCAGAGCCGTCGTTTCGGACCCTAAGAGTAAGTCATAGCGCGCTAAGAAACACGTAATATTATCTAACTTTAATTCCAGTTCTTCTACTCGATGAGGCGACAAGCGCGTTAGATACTAAGTCAGAAGGCGTCGTGCAGGCTGCGTTAGAGGCTGCGGCGGCCGGTCGAACCACCATTACCATTGCTCACCGTCTTTCTACCATCAGGGATGCCCACAACATTGTATGCATGTCGCAAGGAACTATTGTCGAGCAGGGAACGCATGACGAGCTTTTGGAACTTAACGGCGCATATGCAAGGCTCGTCAACGCACAGAACATCGCTGTTGTAAATGATCTAACCGCGGAAGAGCAAGAAGCAATTGACGCTAAGGAGGAGAGTCTCATTCGTAAGGCTTCCAAAGCGGGCGATGTCGGCTACGTCGAGGACCCCGATGACAACATCCGTGATAAACTGAACCGATCGACAACCCAGGGATCCGCATCCAGCAAGGCTCTTCAAGGTCGCAAGCCTGAGGAAAGGAAACAGTACTCGTTATGGACTCTGATTAAGCTGATTGCGTCGTTTAACAAAGAGGAATGGAAACTAATGCTCTACGGCTTGTTCTGGTCTATCATCTGTGGAGGTGGTAACCCAACTCAAGCCTTCTTTTTTGCTAAGCAAATCCTCGTAAGTTTCCCGGATATTAGTCAAACCTTCATCGTTTTATTGTCGCTAACTAGCTCGGCGTAGACGTTGGCTGTGCCTATTACTCCTGCGAACAGTCACCAGATCAAGAAGGATAGCGACTTCTGGAGCGCCATGTTTCTCATGCTAGCGTTTGTCATGCTCATCGCTCAAATATCCCAGGGTGTTGCTTTTGCCAAATGCTCCGAGCGCTTAATCCATCGTGTCAGAGATAGGGCTTTTCGAACTATGTTACGCCAGGACGTTGCCTTCTTTGAT